AGCTCCTTGACTTTCACGCGGCACTGCTCTGAGTCCCTATTGTGGCCTCTCTCCATCATGCCCTTGGAGATTTTTTCAAAAGTTTTGGCATTTCGTCTTTTCGAACGAAGTTCTGCTAGTACTGAATCCTCTCCCCATATAGCGATCAGATCCAGTACCTCCCGTACGGTCCATGCTGGTGCTCTTTTTCGATTATCAGCCTGCATGGTTACCATTGCTGATGAGCTGAGCTATCTGTGGTCACCTGTGCTCTCCACGCTGGGCAAACAGGAAATGAAATTCAAATTTTCCTGGGGCTTTTCCTGTCTACCTGGCCAGTGCATGCGAGTTCAGATTGCTGTCCAGAGCGGTCACAATGGTGCACTCTGGGACAGCTCCCGGAGGCCAATACCATCGAATTGCGGCCACACTAGCCCTAATTCGAAATGACAAAATCGATTTTGGCGCTACTCCGCTCGTCGGGGTGGAGTACAGAAATCGATTTTAAGAGCCCTTTATTTCGAAATAAATGGCTCCGTTGTGTGGACGGGTGCAGGGTTAATTCGATTTAATGCTGCTAAATGCGAATTAAAGTCATAGTGTAGACCAGGCCTTAGAGCCTCCTCATTGGGCCAGTGGAGTTGAGGGAGCTCAGCCCCTCACAGAATTGGGCCCTATTGCTCTGATCCTGCAGAGATTTATACATAAACATAAGTCTTTGCAGAACTGGAGCCTATATGAATAATTCACATGATGAGGGAATGGAACACACCCTGAATGTGTAACTTACACACAAATATAAAGACAATTCAGCATCAATGCTTCTCTTCTATCCCTTTTCTTGTACCTAAGCACTTCAGGAACATAAGAGCAATCAGTGGTCTAACATACTACATCTGCTGTTCTGCAGCACCTGGATGTTACCTGCACAGAGGCACTAAAGAATTCTGAAATCATATGTTGTAATTAACAACTTTATTTACCTATGTTACTAACAACACCATAGATTGTTCAAAGTGAAACAAATTTAAAAATTCCAATGTACTTATCACTAACTGTGCTCTTGGTTTACTTTTTGCATTTCTTTCAGCTTTCACTGATTCAACACTGTAACATGGCAGAAAGGGGGCTGGCCCACTGGCAGTACTCCTCAGACATGCAGAAGACTTGGATTTGAAATCTAGTCCTGATTTCTCCCCCTCCCTATAAGGGTCTAGTCTAACTCTCATTACAATTAACTGAAAAGGTTTCTATTGACTGCAGTGAGAGGTGGATTGGGCCCTAAAGCTATAGCGTCTGGAAGTACCACTGAGGCAGTGTGGGCAACCTTGAGGTGGGGATGGAAGGTAAAAACCTTCTTGTGACTTAAGTCTCTTCCAGCTGAATAACAAGAAGTGTCCACAAGCTCTAAGGCAGCCCTGTCTTGTTCTTTTCCTTATCTGAAAGATTGTTGGTTGTGCTATAGCAGGGGTGGCCAAACCGTGGCTCGCGAGCTGCATGCGGCTCTTTTACAGTTAACGCGTGGTTTGCGGAGCCTTCCACGCACCTCCCCCCATTCTCTACCTACCAGACTGGGGGGGAGCTCAGGACCTCTGCCTTGCAGCAGGGTGGTGGAGTAGGGGAGAGTGTGTGTGTGTGTGTGTGTGTCTTGGGGCTTCAACCCTGTGGGGTGCACCTGCCGGGACTCAGGGCTTCAGCAGGAGCGGGGCTGAAGACCCAAGACCCATAAGGCGCCTCGCGCGGGGATGAAGCCCCGAGCAGCAGCAGGTGCCTCCCGGCTCTTGAACTTCTGAAGATTGTCGTATGCAGCTCAGAGGGTCAGTAAGTTTGGCCACCCCTGTGATATAGGGACTCCAGAGTGAGAGAAATGAAGTGGGAGAAGGTTAATTTGAAGCCATCTAGGAAAATATGGTGAGCAGTGTAGTGTTCTCAAGGAAGAAGGGAGCCTGAGGTTTCAGTGAATTGCTTTTATTAAACTATTGGAACATACTGGATGGAACTGGATTTAGTTTCTCACTTAGTCCCAAACTGTCAGTTCCTTATCCCCCTCTAGCCTAGTTGCTCTTCCCTTTGCACTTCCTGTGAGATTCATAGATTCATAGACTCTAGAACTGGAAGGGACCTCGAGAGGTCATTGAGTCCAGTCCCCTCTCAGTCTTCTCTTTTCCAAACTAAACAAACCCAATTCTTTCAGCCTTCCTTCATAGGTCATGTTCTCTAGACCTTTAATCATTCTTGTTGCTCTTCTCTGGACCCTATCCAATTTCTCCACATCTTTCTTCAAATGCGGTGCCCAGAACTGGACACAATACTCCAGTTGAGGCCTAACCAGCGCAGAGTAGAGCGGAAGAATGACTTCTCATGTCTTGCTCACAACACACTTTGGGTGTCCACAAGATGGCATTATGGCACAGGTAGTCTCTATGGCTGGGGCCTGCCCGGGAGAGGCCCAGGGCATTCCATGGGCCAAGCGATACCAAAGCTAACTGTTGGAGTAGAGGATTAACTGTTGACAGCATTTTTCTTTTTCTCTTTTAAAGGAAGCCATTTTAGCAAAATTGTGTTTTTTTAAAAAACCAAACGAAAGTAAAATCTATCAGTTTCTGGGCCTTTTTCTCCTCTCACTTATGGTCTTTCTTCACCAGCGTAGGTCGCTGTCTTAACTGGAGTTACCTCTGGTGTACGCTACTTTGAGAGAGAGAGAGAGAGAGAGAGAGAGAGAGGAATGAGACCAGGATTTGTAAAACTATCGTAAATCTGTATTTTGACACATTTTTAAAAGAGAGGTTTGACCTGATGGATTATAATAGCTCAAAGCAAATGAGGTATTTATTATAATCTGTCACAGCAATCCCACCAGCACAAATGTGCACTATATTTGCATTCTAAAAATTAAGAAATATTTGTTGAATAATTGTTAATACATTGCAAGCTGTCACTGAAGTAATTTTCAACAATTAGCTATTTTCCTCTTCATGTTATTCAAACACATTAGTCACTCCATTGACTATTAGCTTGCAAATTTTCTGTTTAAAGAAGCAAATGCATTTTTAATTATGGACCCAATTTGAAGTCAGTGGAACTTTAGCCTGAGAGAGAAGTGCAGGATTAGTCCTCATTTAAGGATAAAAAAAAAAAAGAGGTCTGAATGGGAAACCTTTTACAACTTTGTTATATCAGTTTAATATTTTAACGTGGACGCAATTTCTTCAAAATTGTTTAAAAAAATCAGTCCAAGACTTAAGATCTTGATGTCTAACTGTTTTAACTCTGTTGTGAATTGTTAAAACTGTTACTATTCCCTGAAAAACGTCATTGACAATAAGAGTACTGAAATGACGTTAACTCTAGTAGTGTGACTAGCACTGCAATGCTAATTTAGCACAATCAAATATTTTATGATTACAGTAGAGCCCAGAGGCTGTAATCATGATCAGGGGGCCCTCTATACAGAGATGTAGACATGGTCCCTATGCCATAGAGTTTATAATCTTGTTTTCATTCCATTTGCTGAACAAGCTGTATTGACATGTGGAATACACAGATTACCTCTCCATTAGAAAGGAGATTACTACCTCTGGAATGTTTTACAGTTTCTTGTCTTTATAATTTGACTACAATAAAGTGCAGAAGGTTATGTGGGTAGGATAGTCATGAAATCCATGTTTTACCAGAAAGCTAAAATAATGAAGAAAACACCCAGTGTGTGACTGATTTACTATTTTCCTAAAGACATTAAAACAACACGTGTTTGTTTCATTTACTTAATAAAATTAAGATCATGGGCCAGATCTTCAATGTGAATCAGCATAGCTATAGATTTCAATCAACTGAGGATGTGGCCCTATATAATAGAAGCGTGTTATTTGCATTTAGTGTATTATATATAAGATTTCAGAAACTAATAGAAATATTACACTTAATTTATTGTGTAAATTGTCTCAGGTCTCTAACATAGGAAAGAAGATGGCAAATATCAGTATGTTGCCCACAGTTTGTTTTCTGAAGGGCAATGGCTTTGATTTATAGCATGCAATGCTGTTAAATTAGGGCAGAATTTGGCCCCTTGTGTGTAGCTTTTAAACAGAAAATACTGTGGACAAGAGTCTGATTTAATTTATACCCACTGTAAAATCAGTGTAATACCATTGACTTTAGTGGGATCACTCCATATTTGTTTATTATTTTATATACCAGGAACTAAGACGTATTGTTATCTTACCTCTGAGCTAGGTGATAGTTATTGTATTTATTATTATCCCAAAGGTAGTCAAATAATATGGGCTAAATTCTGCTCTCAGATACACTGGTGCAAGTCGGGTCAGTGGGGCTGTATGGTGGAAATGAAAACAGACTTTGGCCTTGCACCTCTGTTCCCCTCAAATAAACAGAATTAGTTGGTTTGAAAATAGTCTGTTTTTATTGCTGCAGCATTTTCTTTTTGCAATCTGCTGGTTGCTTAATAAGCCATTTTTTAATGTCACAGGGGAGGAAACTGAGGCCTTGTCCAATTAAAGAAATGATGGAATGCAGACTATTTTTAGCTGCCATTGGGAATGGAGATTTGCTTTGCCCCTCTGCCAGCCTGAGTAATATAAAATGTAGGTCCAACATGATCTGTGGTGTGGTACCCTGCCCCCCTACGTCTGCTCAGCTCAACAATGCGTTTGCTTTTCCAGGAATGGGATGAGGCTAGGAAAGCAAAACCATCCACGCTTCAGAAAAAATGGGGGGAAGAAACAGTCCCTTGTGTGGCAGCATTGCCCCAGCTCTTTCTCTCAGTATTGCCCATCCCCACACGTGGCACCTGGTCTCCCTCAGTGCACCGATTGGGCATGCACAGGTCTGGAGTGCACAGGCAGAGCCCGCCCAGCGAGGAACGTCACAGACTCCGGTTACAATGCACACACGCTGGAGGAAGCAGCAGGGCAGCCGCCGCCAGTAAACACTCCGTTCGCGCAGGCAGTAAGCCCGGCTGCATGCAATCAGCGCGCGAGGCATTGTCACACGGAAGGAGAGAGCGCAATGTGCCGCCCAGGACTAACCCGGCTGCTGCTCTTCCATCTGCTGCTGCTCAAGCTGCACACGGGCAAAGGTGGGTCCGGGATCTCCGTGTCCATGTCCTCTGTGTGCGCGCGCGTGTAGGGGGGTAACCACGCAGCATCACTAGGACCCGAGCAAGTGCAAGTGCCAGCCGTGCGTTTGCCTGGGTCTCTCGCTCTCCCTTCGGACTCCTGGTTGCATGCACTGTGTGTGGGATTCCTGGCCGTGCTGCACGGAGTGTGTGCAGTGAATGGGAAGCCAGTTTGCAGGGGTTCCCTTAACTTTGATCGGTGATATACTGGGGGGAAGGGCTGACACCTTGTTTGAATGGGAAGGCTATCACAGATGCGAGCCGACCGGTAGCGGCAGGAAATTCATCTGTTAAGCTAAGGGAAGATTTGTCTGGTCACCCGTAAACCAAACCCAGGAGCCCCGCGCTCTCTCTGCAAAGGAGCAGGTCCCCTTCTCAACTTCAGTTTGGGGTAGTTTCCATTGGGGGGGGGGGAGAAAATATTTAGATAAAGCAACCAACGGAGACGCTGACAATGGTCCCTCAACATGCGATCTGCTTTTTGCACTGACAACGACTATCCGCTAAGTCGTTGGGGCTTTTACTTTGGCATTTGCTTACCCTTCCCTCCAACCTCCTTTTGCCTTTAAAACAATGCCGGGTTATTTCCCATAGTGGGTGAATCAGATGTTTGATGTGTGCACAGTGCATCTGTTCAAACGGGGGCTCTATTTAGCCAGGGAGAAGGGGGTTATTGTAACCTACTTGAAGGAGAGGTGCATTGTCCTTTTGTTGTGAAACACATGCCGCCCCCAATGCAGTGTCCCTCTCTAGCGAAGCACTGTGTGTGCAGCGAGCTAGAATCCATGACGGGAGTGTGGCCTGGATCCCCGAGCCGAGAGGATGCGGCCTGCAAAGCGTGCCCCGGGCTGGGGTGGGCACGGACGGGAATCGCGCTCTAGCCCACGCGGCTCTGCCTCTGCTCCCCGCAGGCGCCGCAAAGGAGTGCGAGGAGGACCAGTTCCAGTGCCGGAACGAGCGGTGCATCCCCGCCATCTGGAAATGCGACGAGGATGACGATTGCTCGGACAACAGCGACGAGGCGGATTGCCGTGAGTACCGGAGCCGAGCCGCGCTCAGCTCCCGGTTCGCAGGGCAGGCGTGCGGCAGGCAGGCGGCCCGGGGAGGGGAGGGTCGGCCGAGCTGGGCGGCGCGTGGTGCAGAGGCGAGCTGGGGCAAGCTCGGGTCTTTGCCGGGCCCGCCTGGAGAGCTGGGGTCTGCCGGGGCCGCCTGCCTGGGCGGTCTCTTGCAGGCTGCCGGAGCGCCATTCATTGCACGGGGCACCCGGCGGCGCTTGTGTGTTCCTGTGTTTGGAAAGGAGGCGTGTGTGGGGGGAGGAGGGGCTAGAAAGCAGCCCTGCCCGGAGACTCTGGGGAGCTGGCACATGGGGGGACCCCTCGGCACCGGGTGCAGGCTGGAGAGACGTCTCCCAGCCCCGCCGCTCCTCTCCGCGTGCGTTTCCCCACGGCCTGAATCACAGCGCCAGCTGCTCAGAGGGAGGCTTATCCCTCTTGCAGGAAGGGGCGGATTTAGCTTTTCGCCTAGGTGAGAGCGGTACAGCGCGCGTGTGCGCTGGGGGCGAATTATAGTTGTGTTAATCCAGGTCCCTTTGGTAACAGTAGCCGGTCCTGGCCTGCCGCTTTCCTGCTGCAAAACCTGGCCCAGAGGCAAACGATTGTAAAACGAAGCGGTCGCGTTTGCCCGCCCCATTTCGGATTGGCTGCTGGGGAACACCAGATAAAGTCACACGGCACAAGCTGCCTATAGAAAAGTCTAGGAAGGGACTACTAGTTACCCTAGCCTAAGGTCATCCTCCTCCCACCTCCTTCAAGACCCTCCCTTGTGCCCTTGCCTAGGTTAGACGGGACCTGTGAAGGTCTTCTGGGGAACTGCCCTGACAGGCTAAATTTACAAAGGCAACGCGGTTTATTATTGCACCGCCATAGTGAATCGCTTAGCGATTGGGGATTATTAAACTCTTTACTTACAAAATCTTGTTCCGGAGATGATTCATCGTGAAAGATTCTAAGTGCATTGACGAGGCAGAGAGCTATAGGTTGCAAAATCTTCCTCCTCCATACATTAAACAGTGACTTTTTATGGTTCTACTCTTTCCTCCTACTTTTATATCCTTGTTTTGACAAATCCTGTGTCTGTGGGAAAACCCTAAGGAGAATTCATTGTTCAGGTTTAGTTCTTGGTGGGTTTTTTTTTTAATCGCTCATAGGACAGAGCTTGAAAGAAGTTGAATTTAAGTATATATATACAAGGATTCCTGAAAAAAATATAGTGAACTAGCTAGTATGCATGTGCACAACTGCTTACTATTGGATAGAATCAGAACTATTCAGTTCTGTGCCATCAATCCCCTGTGCTGCTAACAGAATATAGTAGTGCAAGTGGGAGAAGAGAGGGTTTATGCTTTTGGAGCAGGGCGGCTTGGAGTTCTACCTCCTCTGTTCCTGTGAAGTCTCAGTTGGCCTTGGGGTTATGGTTGTCAATATGCCAAAGTCCCAGATAGTTGCACATTTGTTATGCTATCAGTACACATGCTTTTCCCTTGTGTTGCCATGTAAGTTCTGGGTAGTAGCACTTCTCTCACCCTAAGTATGGAAGAAATGTCCATGAAAGCAATGAAATATGGAATTAAGTTCATTGTAGCTACAAGAGACAAAACAGCACTGCAGGTTTTGCTGTAGCAGCTAACGTGAAATACCGAAGGCATGTCTTGAGAATTATATACTGTATAGGATAATAGCCATTGAATGCACACTTTGTTGTAATTCACTGGATGAGCTCTGAAGACTTCATAAACCACAAGAACATAACATGAGCAGCTGATGAATGGCAGCAGAGTCTAGGGAATAAGTTACAGTCATGCATTTTTCACTCTGTTTCTTACTATTAACATCCTAACAGTTTTTAATCAATTTAACATTTACAGTCTCATCCTACAGTCCTTTCTTAGGCAAAACTTCCACTGAATTCAATGGGAGTTTTGTTTGTATAAAGGTTGTGTGGTCATGGCCTGAATGGATTCCTAATGTTCTGATTCTTTTATCCCAACTCAAAATGAATAGTACTTTATCCTCTTAATAGTCCCATTAGAATCAGTGAGATTTCTTAAATAGCAAGAATGAGTAAGGATCAGGACCTCCCCACGCCCAGCCCTACCATGAAATATTGTATCAGAAAAGACAAGGAATGTAAAAATAATATTTTTTTAATGAAGATCTGATTTGGTTGTATTGTGCCATGTCAGAACAGTTAGATGTGTAATTATGTTTTACTTAGAGTTTTACTTCTGTAGCTTTTAGAGTTTTTTGAAAAAAATGAGTTTTGTGGCATGTGACTGGGATCCTGTTTGCACTCTACAGTATAGTATAATTCCTTACATATGTACCAAGGACCCCTTTGTTAACATTTAGGGTCAGAGTGGCATATTAACATGGATTAGGTGGGTGTATTATAGAAATTTCCCATATGGACTGATCATTTAATTAAAATATGGAATTTGCAGTGGATTTCATTTAAGTGGTCTCGAGAGCCACCATTTAAATTACATTTTTCACACGCTTATTTTTGCTAGCTTGTATTTACTTATTGCTGAACATTGATTTCTTTAAAATAATGTTAAAAGGAAATATGTGTGTGTTTATAATATAAAACACAGGTACACACAACTATTACTATTTTAAGGGATACATAATATACATACCCAGAGTATATTCAGTGTGCTTTTGTTTCTAGATAACACACTCCTTTTGTTGCTACTGAAGATACAATAAGATATTAAAAACAGTATTCTGAATTTACACATTCCAAGAACTTGAATTTTCCACAGTTAACTACTAAAACAGTGATGTACAGGAAAAAGGAAAATGCATATAGCCCTGTAGTAGCAAATGCTGAGGCAGACCATTCCATTCTCAGTTCCTATATTCAGTTTGCTCAGATCTTTCTCAGAAGTATGTGATATGCATGTGTTAACGGATTTCTTATTGTATTTATCTTCACTTCTAGGAGAAACAGGCTAACCCTTGTGGCTAGTATGTAAATTATCAGCTTGTAAAATAAACTGCTCCTTCTGGATGTTGCCACTGAAATGCTCTGTTACAAAATGTTTCAGTTTTTTTTAATAGTTCTATGAGAAGATGACAATTTACTCTCTGCTTGTGGGAAAATAGGGAGTTGACGGAGTGGCAGTACTCAATGTGCTTCTTCCTAGAAGCCTTCTTTGTGCACAGACTGACACTCTTTCTGTTTTCTGCTGCTCTACTGCCTGGTGAGTCTACCGTTGACTTTTCCAAGGAATTTGAGATTCCAAAGGAAGAGTCTGAGCACCTTGCTTCATAGAGGTTTCCTCTGGGCTTTCTTTCTTTCCGCTGAATTTCTTTCTTTTTGATTGGGAGTTGTGTGTCTGAAAGCATCCCTGTATTCGCACCCTACACATTATTGTAATAATCTTTGTACAAAATATGCCTTGTGAGGTATCATATGAAAACTTAATATCTTGCTGGTCAATAACATCATGGTGAAAATGTATGTAGCAACATTATTTATAAAGTTGTGAAATTCCCTGTATGATGTTCAAAATCATACAGCCATGCCTAGGCAAAAATTGTTGAACAGATCTATCCTAAACAAAGGAATGTGTGTTTACCTCAATTTACATGTAAGTACAAGACACCAGGGGGAGGAGATAGCAGGAGACAGCAAATTTGCATGTCAACACCAGGCTCTGTATTGTCTGCCTCACTGTTTAAATAAACTTTGCTTTAAGGTTTCAGAGTAGCAGCCTTGTTAGTCTGTATCCGCAAAAAGAACAGGAGTACTTGTGGCACCTTAGAGACTAACAAATTTATTTGAGCATAAGCTTTCGTGGGCTACATCCCACTTCTTCGGATGCATAGAATGGAACATATATTGAGGAGATATATATACACACACATACAAGCTCATTCTTAATCTTTCGCTGTTTGCTGTATAGGATGCTGATCAGGTGGTTTCGCAGTTTCTTTGAGAGTGTGTGACACAGTCTCTCAGCATAGTCTGTGTGGTATGTAGATTGTAATGGATTTTTTACCTTTAGTCCTTTTGGTATGATGTCCATCTGTTTGCATTTGGAAAGGAAGATGATGTCTGTCTGTATCTGTACAAGTTTTTTCATGAAGTTGATGGATTTCCACTCCATACGGCTAAATGCAGTGCCTTGCATAATGACAGGTTCAGAGTAGCAGCCGTGTTAGTCTGTATCCGCAAAAAGAACAGGAGTACTTGTGGCACCTTAGAGACTAACAAATTTATTTGCTTTGAGGGGTAATCATCAGAAGAATCCACTTCAAAGATTCACTGGATTGTAAAAGAAAGAGGCAGAAAACCCGTAAGCTGTGTCTCTTTCCCCTAAGAAGACAAAGGCCATGGCTACGCTACAAAATCAAGTCGACCTAAGGGCAAGCGGTGCAGTAATTACATCACTTGTTTGCTCTTTGTCTTAGCAGTGCTTGTCCTCCCCAGGAGCACTTGTATTGATTGTACTGTCAGTGTGGGGCATTGTGGAATGGGTCCTGAAAGCTAGTAACAGTCAACATAAGCAACACAGGGTTGACCTAACTATGTTGACCTTGACTCTGCACCACTCGTGGAGGTGGAGTTATTAAGTCGGTGTAGTGGGGCATTTATGTCGTCAGGAGTGAAATTTAAGTGTAGAGACTTCCCTAGTTCGGTCGACATAAGCTGCCTTGTGTCGACGTAACTCTATAGTGTAGACCAGGCCTCAGGCACCAGCATCTTTGGGCCTTTGGGAGAGATGCTGACCAAAGAATTGTCAATCACCATCTTGCTGGAAGACGGGGGGTGAGACAGGCCATTTTAAACAAAGCCTTGAATCAAAATTTGCCAGAGTAAGTCTAAGACTTTTAGATGTGTTTTCACTGTTATTTGCTTGTGACAGTTTTGATCGTTATCTCTCATACTTGAATTCACTTAAATCCATTTTCTTTTGTTAATACATTTGTCTTGTCCTTAAACCCATCCAGTTGTGTTTAAACTG